AAAGTAGTGACTTTTAACACAAAGTTTGGAGAAATGACAAGTTACCCATAATGCTACCACTCTAATATATATAACCACTTGTACCATTTTAAGATATTTTTATTTTATATGTAATTGTGTTTTTTTTTAATTTAGCATCATATCATAGGTATTTTCCATGTTATTCTAGATGTAAACATTGCATACCTCATATTCCATTTGTGAAAATTATTTGCCCCATCCCCCCCATCTACCCTTCATCTAGATCTATCAACTGTTAACTTTTTGCTACATTTGACTTACCTCTTTTTAAGAGGTTGAGTTAGTTGCAGGCATCTTGACTCTTCATACCTGAATACTTTATCAAGTATTACCCGAGAACAAGGCTGTTCTCCCTCTAAATACAACTCAAATTATCATGCTCAAGAAATTCAATAGTAATACAAGCCATCAGCCCATATTATAATTTTCCACCATCCCGCCCTCCACCAGTCTCAATGTCTTTCACAACTGGGCTTATTTTTTGATCTAGTATACAAACACTGTCAAGGGCCAGATATGTTATTCAGTTGTTCTTTTCTGAAAGCTTCTTAAACAGGAAGTTTTGTCTTAAAATTAACTGATAGAATTCCAGTGCTCAGACTTGAAACTTTAGGCTATTCTAATTGCTAGTGAAAATCAGCCCAGTTTAACTACCACTAAAACTAAACAATCTTATCCTCCCATTCAGTGTAAGGATTGCATGATATTTTATAAAAACAGAAAACAGGATTGTTCAACTTGTCTTAGAAATGTTATTCATGCAAAAACATCATTTAAGGGGCCTGTGCTTCAGAGTGCTATGTGCTATAAAATGCAATCTAATCTGCAAATCTGCTTGGTTGTCTTAATCATTATTCCTTTTTTTGATTATTATTTAAACTGACGCCTCAAATACTTGAGAGGTTTCTCACGTAAGAACAACTTTGACATTTCCTTCTCCCTTTCTGCATCTCATACTCTTTGGTTCCTAATTCAAACACTGAGAGTCCTTGCCTCATTTAAGATATGCTCTATGGAGTCCTTAAAGGACATTTAAAATTGCATCCTACTAATTACTTTGCCATCTTCTCTAGACTTGTCATTGTTTCTAATATACCATCTTTACTCATCTTGGTCACACCTTAAAAAATAACAAAATTAAAATTAAAAGAACAAATAATAAATTCTTAATCAAATATAGTCAGTATTTAACTTTTCCCTATTGTCTCAGGATATTTTGTTTGCTTAAACCAGGATACAAATAAATTTCCATACTTTGCAGTTGGTTTATATGCTTTTGAAATCACTAATCTATAGGTTTTCCTTCATCAAATTTCTCTTCCACTGTAATCTATTTGTTGAAAAAACAAATTTGCCCTATGGATTCTCACACACTGGATTTTGCCGATTGTATCCTGTGATGTCATTTAAGCTGGTCCTCTGGCTCTGCATTTCCTGTCAGTTGGGAGCTACATCTGCAAATTGGTAATTAGATCTAGACACGTGATTAGATTCAGATTCAATTTGTTTTGAAATACCTCACAGGCAATGTTATGTTCTTCAATCAGGAGACATGTAATTTTGCATGTCTCCCTTTTTGTGATATGGGTGGCCATGAATGGTCATTGCTGAGATTCATTTATTCGTTCGTGGTTCAAAAATGGTGATGTTTAAAATTTATTAATCCTTTTTCAATTATTAGTTCAATACTTTTGAAAGAGACACTGCCCTCCATCAAATATTTAATACTTTTTCCCATATGAAAAAGTTTTAATAAATTTTAAAATCACAGAGGCACTGCCCTGGAGCAGCATTTGCCATGAAGTGACTTTGTCAGTGGGCCAAACCGCACCAGGGACTCACTGAAGCAAATAAGGACCGGAGCCTTAGATAAGGACAACTCTTTGCATCTGCACCAGGCCTTTGCCCTCAGGCTAGAGCAGGGCTGAGGTTGTGGTATTCATGTCTTCAAGCAGGAAAAATCCTTACTTTCCCCATGAAAACTGAACATGCAGAGCTGGAAGCGAGGGGTACAGAAACTTCCAGGAAACTTAAGAACATCCTCTCAGTGCAGTGGGCTACTAAAGCTCTGTTTTTGGTAGAGTATAGGCTCAGCTGCTATAACCAAACAAACCAAAAAACAAAAAACAAAATCACAAAATAAAGGGGTTAAAAAGAATAAAAATACATTTCTCCTTTGTAATAGCCCAAGAGGTAAGCAGGCAGTTCAAGTGACTCTGCCCCATGAGGTTGTCAAAGAACCTAGGTTCTTTCTAACTTCCTGTTTCATGATTCTCAAAGACATGACCTTCATAAGTATGATTAAAATAGCTTATCTGCATTCCTATCTGGAGGAAGGGTATAAACAAAAGAGTGGAAGACAAGAAATTTCATTTAAAACCCATATCCAGACAGATAAAACCACACTAAAACCTTTGAAATCTGCCTTTAGAACTGAGCCTTTGGTAGTGGTGTAGAAACATATATTTGAAGAAGTGTGGGCCTATATCCCTAAAACATATAGTGTTATAAACTATTGCCTCAATAAAAATAATTTAAGTTAAAAATATAAAAAGTAAATTAACATTTGTATCCTAGAAATTGTACACATCATTGCTTCTCAAAATGGACTGACTAGAATTTATTCCTAAGACAATCACCAGCTGCTGAGGAGGCTGGTGAAGGTAAGGAAGGGGGTTATTACCAACAGTGAGAAAGTGGATACTGGCAACCATTAACAGTCTCTGCTACCACTAGAAAGTAGCCTCTGGGGGCTGCACCCTCTCAATTCCCCAACCAAATTCAGTGAAGCCTCTAGGGGTGGGGTGTTTCTATAGGACGAGATCCTCACCCCCAAAGCACCAGCCAGGGTCCATGGATAAGGAATCTTCCCAGAATGCAGACATTCTTATTCTAGGAAGCCATATAATACACATCAAACATTATCCTGTACTTTATAGTGTGTAATACAGGTTTTATTGCAAAATTTTGAAATTTTTTAAATACTTTTATAATTATTTTGCTAGGAGTAACTCATTCAATTTACAATTGACTCAAGTTTCTTAGTAATATATGTAGAATTTCTTGTGAAATAAAAAAACTACAAATTTTCAAGTGTAATAAAATTTTTATGAAATTGCTATAAAATTAATAATGAGTCTAACATAATAGCATAGTTTTGGGACTTTTAATTAAATACTTATTTATTTACATTTTGCCAATTTTTTTCTTCTCAAATTTTATTGTATTGCCAATCATTTACATAACTATTATTTTGGGAATACCACTTCTTACTTTATTTTTTTTTCAGGACTTATTTTTATAGGTCCTTGGATACTCTGCCTAAATTTAGTGAATAAAACAGTCCTTAGGCCACATGTACATGAATATGAGACTTGCTACAGACCTGCCTGCCAGGCCAGTGGGCTTGCTCTAGCAACTTGCCATGGAATCGGAGGATTGGGCAGTAGGAAGGCCGTATGTTCATTAGACCTAGAGAAGGATAGCACTAATAAAGTTAGTGAGGATAAAATACAACAGAAAGCACAGAGTAGGCATGGGGAAAGTTTCAGATACTTCAGTTTGGAAAGGGGTACAGAGGTCAGAAGATTTCCAGGTTTCATCACAAGCATTAAAAGTGATGATCATCTTCCCCTGAAACACAAACTTCTTGACTTGCCTGATACCACTTTCCCCTGGTTTCCTTCCCTCCTCCCTGGCTGCTAAGATAAGGAATATTTGAAGAACTGGGACATTGGGACAGTCAGGGGATGACTATCATGTCCGGTGACATTAAGACACTCAAGTGGAGGTGTCCCACAGTCCATAGGATATGTGGCTCTGGAGCTCTGAGAGTGGGTCCAAATCTTTATTAGTTTTGCCAATATTTCTTATCGATTCAGGGGCTTAGTTAAAAGTAAACCAATTCTGGCCATTGTAAGCAGAAAATGAGTTTATTAACGCTTTCTTAGGCAGTTCACAGAATTGATAGGAAGACCAGAGAATTAAACTAAGAGCTAATCGTTGTGTTAAAGAAAATACTGCTGCCTTCACACACTAAGTGCTTCAGCTTGTTTTGCTGCCATGGCACCATGGAAACCTTTGCAACCAACACTGTCACCAGAGAGAAGTCTCTATGGTTCCTCCTCCTCCTTTCCTTTCTCCCTCCCTCCCTCCCTCCCTTTCTTCCTTCCACCACTGGACCTGAATCCAGACCACAAAGGATAGTAGGAAGTCAAGATTTTAATATTTTTAGTTTCTCTAATGAGGAGTGAACTGTGCTGCCTGAGGTAGGGCATTCTCCTCAAATAGGAAAGAGATTCAAATTTTATGTAGTCAAAATGAAGAACAAATGGTCATTATGCTGTCTTTGCCTGACTAGAAACCACTGGGCAAAGAGGAGAGTTAAGGCTAGGTAACTGGGGAGTAGCACTACAAAAAGGACATTCCTGCTGTGTTTAGGGCCTGGAAGTAGGCATTTTCCCTAAACCTGCCTTCATACTTGTTGCCTGAATAATATACTGTGTTCATGCAGTAATAAATAGAGAGCTGAGTTCTTCCCTAGAGAGAAAGTTTCCCAAGACAATTCTACCCCACCTTGTCTTCTAATGATGTTGTAGTTCCAGGGCAAGAAGACCATGAAGTAGTTCAATCATCTTCACTGAAAAAAACGCAAGGACACAATTATTGGTAAAGAAAAGTGCTATTTTTAATTTGTTCTTGAATGTGTAGGTCCTTTTAAAATCAATGACACCTCCCCTTACAACATTCCTCCCTCATGACCCTAACTGCATTGGATCCAATGGCACTCCTAGAAAAGGCCTGGGAGGAACTCACCCCAGATATCCAAGAAGGGGTACAACTTGAGGAATGGGCACATGGCTCACAAAGCAGCACCAGCCACTGCAGAATTTCCTCAAAGCAGCTCAGTTTGGCCTGTGAGTCCCTTTGCCCTGTGTTGGCCAAGATGCCCCCTGCTGTGTCTTACCCCCCCCCCAGAATTCCCTTGTTCCCTGTGTGGCCTGAGCTTTACAGTTAGAATCACTGTTTTCAACCCCCATCCCCAACTTTATATATGGGAAAACTGTATCCAAGGTCACACAGCTCATAATTAGTAGAGCCAAAATGTAGGTGCTCAGCATCTCAAGTCACATATTGTTCTACTATACCTTCCTACTTCCAAGAAAAACAGCGACATCTGCCCTAGGAACAATTGGAGCAAACAGGCTGTGACAATCAGTATAGATGGGAAAGACCTGGCTAAAGGGGGCCAGGCTGATCCTAGCTGAGCCCTAAAAAAAGTGATGAATCACAGCACTTCCCAGTTTTCCCTCCATCAGAATGTTATCAGCAGCAGACATCCAGCCCTGCCAAGAGTCTCCTGGCTAGCAGCACTAAACTATGCATAGAACGTTTTACCAGGATTCCAAGCTCCTACTGACTGTGGCAGGTCTAACTGGTATGAGGATCATGATGATGCGCTGCCCACCAGCCTAGTAATCCTTCTTGCCAAACCACTACTTCATAAGACCCAACCCAATCTCTTGGCCTGGTTTAGATGGGTTCTCTTATCAAACATGGCTAAAATCTTTCTTGGTGCTGCACTGAAAGGGGAAAGACAGAGGGGAATGGGCCCCAGAGACTGTCCCCCAAGCAGAGCTCATAAACATGCTTGGCATGAGAACTCAGTCCAAGAGAGAAACAGACTCAAAGCAAGCAGGCAGACACAGGGAGTGGAGAGCAGGAGCAGCCATGCTCCTCCCTGCCTATCAACTCTGAAGAGGAGGGACTGTAGAAAGCATCAGGTATCTCCTCCCATCAAGGTTTTGAGGAGGGCTCAGGCATGTGGCTGAAAGGTAAGAGGCTAATCCAGAGACTATAGCATCATAAACACCAAGTGAGGCAGGTGTTTCAGAGAGGAAGTGGCAGATGGTATGTGAGATACTATGGAGAGTTCAAGAGAGTTGAGGGCTGAAAGGTATCCATTTGTTTTGGCAACTGGGTGAGCACTAGTATCTTTTTTAAAAACAAACTATGGAGAGTTGAGTGGTCACTGAGAAGACTCCATGAAAAAGATTTTAAAAGAAACTTGGCTGACAAGGAAAAAGTGAAAGGGGTAACTGATTCTAAGAAGTTTTGCTTAATCTTGGGGAGAATTTTGCTTGTTTGGAGGCTATGTAGAGGTAACCAATGGAAAGAGATGTTGAAGACCCTGGAAAGTGGGAGCAGCAGGGTAAATGATGGAGTAAACTCTTGGAAGACATATATTAGGATTCAAGACAAAGAGCACCAAATAGAAGCAAGGAGGAGGAAGAAGAGGATATACACAGAGAGAGATGGGAAGGGGAGAGGAGTGAGCAGACAGGAAGCTCTTGCTTCACGGACTCTCTTCTTTGAAGTAGACAATGAGGACTGTCATTTACTAAGAGCAATGGTAAAGGACATGGATGGAAAGCAGAGGAACAAGTCAAAGATACAAAAATCAATACTGAGTGCCCAACTGAGACTGTAAACTATCAATTTGTGAGGCTTAGCAGCTCAGGTAGAAGGACAAAATAGGTTGATGCAGAATATGGAGAAAGATGGACAGTTTCAGCAAAAGTTGGGGGGCATGAAAAAGTTCAGATTGCTGAAGAAAAGGTACGATGAGCCTTAGGTTCAGACTGGGGAGAGGCAGGGGTCCAGAAGGCTATAAGACTGGCAGAAGAGAAATAACTTAAGTCATGGAAATGGACTAAAGGAACAGGGCAATTTAGGTAAATAGTGAAGGAAGAGGAAGAGAAAGCACAGGGGATGATGCAGAAGAAGCAAAGTCTCAGTCCAGGAGTTCTCAACATGGAATGAAAGGGGGAGCAGAACAGAGGCCAAAAACAAAAAAGGAGGGGCCTATGTCTGAAGGGTAAGGCAAAGACATGTCACCAGAAATGAATACCGGGAGCCAGAGTCTTCTGGGATTGCTGGCAGGGCCTGTGACAGAGCAGGGCCTATAGCTGTCTGGCGGTTGCCACTCAAGGAGGGGGTGCCTGCTGAGCCAGGTAGGATGTGTAGTTGGCATTGCTAGAGTTACAGAAGGGCAAGTCTTCCTATGTTCTGGAAGAGTGCTCTGCAAGTCCACCCGCACCAGTTTTTGTACTAAATTCCTTTTGCATCAGCTGAAGCCACTCCACTCTTGTGCTTCTCAGCACAACCTTGAAAAGCCCAACTTCTCCTCTAGATGGCATTTGTACCACAAGAATCCAGAACTCATTGCATTTCCATTTCCTGACTTTGTCAAGGGCCAGAGGTCTTAATTTCAAAATGGGGTCATTATGGAATAAGTTAAAAGCAGATTCAGCTCAAATATTAGCAAACAGCCACTGAAGTCAGTCATTCAGCTAATAGCCTTTTTGTGTTCATTTCTAAAAAGACATGTTGTATTTTCTGCATGCAAAGACAAAACAAAATCACCTAAAACATTGGTGCTAAGTACACAGGAAAAACCAGGGAGAGAGTGGTGCCGTGGAGTAACCAGAGAAGGAATGGTGTGGTGGGCCAGGGCCTCACACCGGTATAGACAAGACACTCGACCTCCCGGCCCTCCCTGGTCAGGTGCCTGAAAGGAGCCTTTCAGCATGCATGGGCTCTGTGTTGGGAAGGGAATATGTGACCTCCCACCACATTACTAGGGTCTCCTAGCCCAGCAGGCTGATCCTTGAGCTCAGCAGGCTAAACCCACACTGGGAGCTTCAGGGACAGAAGGGAAGCCAAGAATTTAATCAGGTTTTTCTGCTTCATATTTGTGGTCTCCAGCTAGTTCTAGGGAAGGATCTCAATCAAACTTGAGGCTGTCATAGCTCTCAATTGGCGTCCCAAAACAAAGCACCATGAAGCACACTCAGAGAGGTGGGAATGTGGGCCACATGAAGGAAAGATGACTAAGAGCAGTAATTTAAGCAAAGTAATTGCAGAGAGAATGCTGCTAAGTCAACTAAAATATGAAAAAGATTCAAATATCAAAAGGGAGGTGGCCAGCGCCCAAATCAGAAAGTCATGTGAGCCCCAAAGAGCAGAGGGCTAAACCAAAAATTGCTTGGCTACTGGAGTATTAAAGGCTTAGTTACCCCAAACTAGAAGACAGAATTATGGAAGCCCATCTCTTTGATGGTAGCTTGAAGTGTACTCGTGAAAGGATGGCCAGTAAATAGACACTTCCAAACAATCTGTTTTGAAGTAAAGAACATCTCACAGCCCTGGTGGAGAAGGAAATGAACAGGGTCATTGTTTGCAAGGAGAGAAGAAATGTTTTCTGTTCAATATTTTCCCATTAACAAAGGTCCTACAAATAATTTCCTCAAACCGCATCTCTTAGCAAAATAAAGCCATGATCTAAGACTCCCCTGAAATCAGCCAAGCCATGACAGGACCAGGGCAAGCTGTGTCTCTGGGCCAGGCCACTGAGTACCAGATCCACAGCTCCACCATATCAACAACAGGTTCCTTCATAACTAAGCCCTTGCTGGGGAGGTGGCCTGCCCCGCCCAGCATCTGCCTGTGCCTCTTCCTCACAGACACCCTGTATGGACCAAAAAGATCTGAGATGTAGCCTCGGGCTCCCATGCCCATGGCTTCCAGAACACTTTATCTGTGCTCAAGAAGTCAAGTCCTGAGGTTGCTTTAGGGTCACCAAAGGACACTGGCTTCTCGCTTCTCAGCCTTCCCCTTCTTCCCCTAAACAGAAATTCTCCAATGAATGCTTAGGTGTGGCTCCTTCTGGTCCCTCTGACCTTCTCCAACCTCCAACAAAAAAAAGGGCTGCCAGTAGAGCTTTTTCTAGGCTGAAGACAGTCTAGGAGCAGGTGAATCAGAAAACTTACTTCTGATCTTTGGCTCTGTGAATGAGGAAAGGTTGAGAACTAGGATCTGTAAGCAAGAGGAGAGGCCCACAGAGGGAGCTGGTTGTAGGTCAGTCTCCTTGCCCAGAGAACTCTGTACCTAAAGCAGATAGCAGCTGCCTCAGTTTTCCCAAGGAGAACTCAGGATCTAAATATCTGAATGAAGATAATGAAGGGGTAGCCACCAACAGTCACTTTTAAGAAGGCGGGTTCTGACATCAAAGAAGAGCTATTAGTCCAAAATAAGTGGCACAAATGACAGGTTCCAAAGTTGACATCTTCTTAAGCCTGTCAGTGAAATCTGAGTCTGCAGATGTAAGTAGTCTCTGCACAGCCACCCTACCCAGTCAAGAACGCCATAGCATTCCCAGCAGCCCTTTCCCAGCAGCCATCTGGTCAACATCAGGAAAGGGGGCATGAAAAACAAATACCCTGAAAACCGTTAGAACCCGAATAGGCACCAATGAGACCTATGGCCTCTAGAAGCCTCCAGTACCCTGCCCAGGGCAGATGCCTCTATCACGGCAGGCCAAGCAAAGGCAAATAGTGACAATCTTTGGCTGTGCTGGGCTAGGGATTACAGGCCTGCCATATGTCAGAACCTCTCTCCCTTCTTTTACCCTCTTCTGGGCCCTGAAAGAATTCAGATATATACATTGCTCCTGTGCACACTGAAAGGTGAGAAAAATCTGCTTTCCTCAGCAGAACAAATTCACCAAGGTCCCCCCAAGTCTGACCAGGCTTGGTCTTGTCAAGTGGACCCTACACATTAGATGATTCTGAAAGAGGGATACCTCCCTCTTTGCTGTTTATTACTGGTATCTTCTCTGTAGTGGATGCACTCTGGCTCCTGAAAAAATGCTGTAAGATGCAAATGGCAAAGAAGAGCACTACACAGCTCGACAAGACTTGTCTGACATCCACGATCTGAGGAGAATGAGCTGAAAAGTGGGGAGGAGTGGTCAACAGGTTGGGGCACAGCTGCCAGAGCATTCCATCTCCTTCCATCCTTCAGACCTGGGAGATGCTGTTGGCTAGGCGGAATGACATTCTTTTTGCTTTTTCATTCTCCTGAAAAAAAAAAAAATCGGAATTTGAATGGCCACATATAGGATTTATTCATGTGCAAAGGCTAAGTGTCCCTGGAGATTGGGATTCCCTGGAGTCAAAGTGTTTTATTCTACCCCAGGAATGCAATAGCAAAATTCACTGACGCCACCAAACAGTGTCATAAACAACTGGGGGTGGCTGGTCATGTCCCAGTACACAGTAGGCAGGCAATACAGTTTGGTGGAATTAAATAGTATTGAATGACATCTCAGGTTTGCACTGAGGGGACCAACCAAAAGGTCAGAGGATCTTGCGAACAATACCTCTCCTTCCTACACAAATACCAAGGGGCTGAAAAGATCTCTTCCTTCCCTCCAAACCCAGGTTGAGATCAGACACTGAGGCCTGGAAATTCTCTACCTATGGACATCACAATGTAGAACAATCAGCACTGAGCTGGGAGTCGGGATACCTGGTTTCTCACCCTGGTTCTGCTAATTTGCTTGGTGACCCTGGGCTGGGAGATCCATGTCTCTGAGTTTCCAGCCTCCATGGTAAATGGAGTTGATGAGTCCCGTGCTGCCTGCCTTCCTCTTAGGCTAAAGAGTTGGAAGTGAGGGTTCAATGTCACCACTCTCTTGTGCCACCTGACCAGCTTCACATTAGGTGCCCCCTGCCTGCCCAATCACCCACCCACCCTCCTGCTTGCCTGCCATCTGGCAGCAACTCTTTACCATATGTCGCCGCCGCCTCTTGGGTTGAACGCCTTCCTGCACGTAAGTGGGCCACGGGAAGCCCTGGGGAGTGGAACACCCACTCTCACTAGACACTTCCTCGGAGTCTGAGTCCTCCTGCCTTGGCTGAGCAAACAGTTTTTCCGGGTAGATCTCTTTCAACCAGCCCTCAAAGAATACTTCCAGGCAGCGGCCAGCCTCTGCAACCTCTGAGTCGGGCTGAAGGGGAGGAGAGCAGTGATGATCCGGCCCGTTTCTACTAGCCCATCTCCTCTATGTCCCTGAAGAGCTACACAGACAGCATGAAGTCTGGGTCTCCAGCTTGCCTGGAACCAGACATTTTCTCAAGACTTGGGATAACCAGTTTGGTATCAGCTCTTCTTATCAGAAATAACCTGACAAGTACCCACAGATAACCAGTTTCTAGCCCCGCCCCCCCCAAACATCTTCCTCCTGAGTCCATACTGAGGCTCCAGTATGGGGGACACTTTTAACTACTACAGTAGGACCTAAGAGATCAGCTCCAGATCCTCATGGCAGCCAAGGACCAAACCTGACACCCCATCCAACCATGAAAATCTTGGGGTCACTGGGAAATAGGGGAGAGGGAAAACAGGCAAGACATACATAATTGAACTTAGCACAGTTCCAAAACATGAGGCGCACATCTGACACCACCTCCTCTGGGGTGGTATAGTGAGCTGGGTCCTTCTTCTGCAGCTTCCTCCGGATTATAGACAGGTCCATAGGCCTCTTAATAATCTGGTAGTAATGCCGGGCCTGGGGGGAGCAGAAAAGGAGGAGGCGGCAAAGCAGGAATAGAGAAGTGAAGATAGAGATAAGAAGGAAGAAGAGGTGGAGGATGAGTTAGAATAGAAGTGAAAGAATAGAAGAGAAAGGCAGCAAGAATGAAAGTGTGGCAAAGTAAAGAGAAAAGGAAAGGAGTAATGTTTTACTTGTCAAGTCAGGTCTAAGCAGCAGCACTTGGCCAAGGCACTGAAAGGGAGATGACCCCCAAGGAATGGGGCCATCCACAGATTAGTCACATTTCTCTAGTAGTCATGTTCTGAGCCCACCCTGGGTACAACCATGACCTGCCGAGTGACCTTGAGCCCTCTGAGCAGAAAGCCCCATAGCAGGCAGAAACAGTGAAGCCATGCTTACCAGAGGGCTGACAGGTTCGTGGAAGGGCAGGCTGAGGCTATTGCAGCACAAGGACAGGACCAGCTTCTCACACTTCTGTAGAAATCAGAATTGGCAGCAGTTACTCTATTCCAGCTCTACTTCAACAAGAATAAAGATAGTGACCCTGAAAACTCTGAGAGGTTTGCTCTGTCCCACAGGGTAAGAGCCACCAAGCCAGAGGAAAAGAGCTCACAGTAGAAAAAATCATAACAAACCCCACAAAGGCCAAGGTCCCAGGCATAGCTCAAGAGAGGTACTAGAAGAGGTACCTCATCCCCTCAGAAAGGCTTTAGCCCCTATAAGCACAGGGTGGCTACCCAGGCAGGGATCTTTGTTTCCAGAGACCCATCCCTACCTTCTGGTCATATATGCTCAGGCCAGGAGGGGCCCGCACCCCAGGCTGGTTATAGCGGGCATTCTCGCAGTCATACTCCATCTCGGGCTGTGTCAGGCTGCGGCACAAGGTACACACCCAATCTCCCCTGCAGGGGCAAGTGAGGCCACGTAAGACCACAGTGCATTTCCCAGAGCCCCTTCCATGGTCCCTCTGCCCAAGACAGGTGTGGAAGGTAGTGGTATAGAAAGCTGAGTCCTAGCTCGGCCCCATAGGGAATGACTTCCTAGCCATAAGCTTCAAGGAAATTCAGTAACTCACAATTTAGTGAATCCAGGAAAACAGGAGTTGGGAAGAGGTTGGAATGGGAGTACAGGGAGAAATCTTTGTGGGAGAGGAAACTGGGAAAAGAAGGGAAGGGAAGTCATCCAAATTTCAAAAATCTACCTGTTCATGTGTAAAAGGCACACAGATGTAGGACCACTAACGTCACACACCTGCAGTTCAGGCAGCCCAACAAAGGGAGGAAGCCCATCCAAGGGACCTCTGTGGGCCTGGCCCAGAATAGCTTCCCTGGAAGAACATCCTGCTAGCCACGTGATGCCCCGCTTGGAAGGACTTACCCTGGGAAGCTGAGCAACGCTGGCAAGTGGCAGGAAAGGTGGTACACTTTGGGGCAACGATCACAGCACAGCAACTCTCCCCCATTGAGGCACACAGCACAGAAATCCTCATTTTCTATTGGTACCGGGGGTCCCTTCTTGGGTCCAGGGGTTCGAGGAATGAGTCTGTGTTCCTCAGGGCCTGTTCCCTCCACCTCTGGGAGCCGCTGTCCAGCCAGAGAAGTGACAGTGACCTTTCTTCCCCCTAGACTTGGGGTCTGGGAGGCATCTGTGATGTTGTCCTGGCTGACCTTGAAGAAAAAAGTGAGTCTGAGCCAGAGCATAGCACCAACAAGTTTTCAAGGGTAGTGGGGTAGGGACTGACAAGCCCAGAGCATCAACTTACTCCAGGACCCCAAGTCAGTCAAGCCCCATGAATTCTGGGAGAGCCCATGCCTATGGTGCATCTCACAGGTCCCTTGCAACAGGGGACAAAGTCTTACCAATTGGCAGCCCCACTCTGAGACTCAAGATAAGGCAGAGTCAGACTCGTGCTGGTAGCAGAGACAAAGGAGAGCTCTGAGGCTGGGCCTAGGTTCACAGGCAAGGAACAGCAAAGTGGTACCTTAATGGACATGCTGGAGGACTCAGTGCCACATTCAATGATCAACAGGAAGCTCCCATCCTGATCATTCTTCTGTGGCTTCAACTTGAACACAGGCATCTCTCCCGAAGAGGCAGCACAGATCTTGAGTCTCTCCAGTCGCACATAGGGAATCTTGGGCTCACTGTTGATGGGTCTGCAGTAAGACAACACCTCTGGGTCTTGGTAGAAGCTTCTGTGGCCCCAACCTCTGAGTCAAGCTCAACCATGACCCCACAACTGAATTGCAGCCCAAGATCTCAGTCCAACCCACTATAGACTCATGTTCTGTCCTTCCACCCAGTTCTGCTGGGCTTTCAGGCCTTGCTCCAAGAAGGGAATCCTTGCAGAGGGTGGGACTCAAACAGAGCATGTGCCTTGTGGTACAGGAGCCTGGATATCCTCCCACAACCAGTTCAGATACCTAACCACATAGACTCTACTTGAAGTTCTGGGGTTGAAGAAGACAGTTGCAGGAAAACTTGCTCCTCACTAAGTCATCAAGGATGCTTACTTCCTGTGCCAACCTCTCAGGTCATGAAGTTGGGGGTTAGTAGAGGGAGGGTGGGCCAAGAATCTGTTACCTGATACGCTGGTTCTCCTTTGTATCTATCTCTAGGGCTCCATGTTCAAATTTGTCATACTCTAAGGCAAAAGACAAATAAATACTATGACACATTTATAACAACACATATCCATTCATATCTACTGTTGTTGTTCACACCTTCCACTCATATCTACTGCTCACACCTCTGTCTACACACCTGTCACACCATTGTTACCCACATTGTAATCATTCACAGTGATGACAATCCTGCATGGCCCTTTTACCTGAGAGGAGAAAAAGGCCACCCTCTGTTAAAAAGATAAACACAGATAACCACACAGAATCTCACATAAGTGCTGGGTCAGACACAGAGAAGCCAGATTCTCACTTTTGAAATAAGCTCAGAAATCACCTATTCCCCATACATCCATGTTACCTGCTCTCAGAAGTCATTCCATTCAGCCTCTGCCTTTTTAGCCAAGTACTGGAATTCTAACACTGCCTGAGAAACACTGCCAGCTCATACTCTATAGGTAAGAGGCTCCCAGCAAGGCCTGCCCTGAGTAGTGCAGTCTGCATGGATGGGCAGGATGCAGCAGTGGGGTGAAAGGAGGAAACTAGCAGATTGCCCATTCAGCGTCAGGCACTGTCCGAGGTACTTTTCAAGGGCAAACAAGGCCCCAAAATTTCAGCAGCCTAAAATGCAGGATTAATTAGTATTAATTAATCTTTGTATTAATTAGTCTTTGTCCCGGTCCCTTATTTAGGTTTTCTAAATTCCTGCTATGAGTGAGACCATCCGGTATTTTTCTTTTTCTTTCTGACTTATTTTGCTGAGCATGATTCCTTCTAGCTCCATCCATGTTGTTGCAAACTGCATGTGTTTATCTTTTTTTGAGCAATAAAGTATTTTTAATTAAGATGTCACATTGTTTTTTAGACATGTGCTCTTGTTTACTGAAAAGACTATGGTATGTTGTAAACCTAAATTTTATATGCACTGGGAACCAAAAATTTGTATGAATTGCTTTAATGCAATATTAGCTTTGCTGCAGTGGTCTGGAACACAACCTCATTATCTCAGTAAGAGGCCTGTCAGCTGGCCTCCATCTCACCTGCAAGTGCTGAGTCCCTTGCTCCATTTTGTGGACAGTATGAAAGGCAAGCTGCTTACTGGAGTCTCACCTTTTGGGTTCCGGTACTGCTGTAGAGCCATGGATGTGTTGACTGCTGGGACCAGTGTAGGTTTTTTCACAGAGAGGTTAATTGGCTCTTCTAGTTCTGAGGGAATAGCTAAGTCCTTGGAAGCATTCAGTCCAGTTGTAGGAACTTGTCCCAAAGAGTCACTGAAGTGGGTGGAATCCTCACTTTCCATCTTTTAAAAGTGAAAGGCAAACAAGAATAAAAGAAATCAGGCATGTTTGCCACTAGAGGTTAGAGAGCTTAGATAAGCTAAGACCAGGATAACTTTAGAGGCCATCCTTCTGCCTAGTGATGAGCAGAGGAAGTGTAATGCATTTGCCTGGGACTTACCTTACACAGAGTATTCCCCAGAGAGGGGTCAGCACCATCCCTGGGGCATAGACTCCCTGAAGCTCTGCCAGACCCAGGACTGCTGCTGGATCCAGTTTCCGGCTGTGTATCAGAAGTTGGAGGCAAGCTCTGCAGAGGACAGAGTGCCAGACTTGGCACAGTCTGGGTGGGACCAGACATTAGGTTGGGTCCAGCCTGAGAGTGATCACTTGCCAGGCTTGTGATGGACTGCGCAGAATCACTCAGTAGGTTGGGCATGGACTGGGGTATACTACGCACAAGGCTAGGTATGGTCTGCAGGTGACTGGCTGTCAGGCTAGGCAAGGCCTGGTTTTGACCACTTGTCAAGCTGGACACAGCTGGGGGAGGCCCACTCAGCAGGCTTGGTACCACCTGTGGGGGGCTAGGTGTCAGGCTGCTCACGCTCTGGATCTGTGGTTCCAGTGTTCTTGCCAGCCTGGTAGATGACAGCTCCATCTCCAGTGTGTTGGAAAAGCCCATGATGCTCACCGAAGTAGAGTGCTGTGGGAACAAAGACAAGAGCAGAGTCAGGCTGCAACTGGGAACAGTGGGAGGGGAAGGAGAGATGCTGCCCATAAGACTCCTATGCTAGATTTCACTCTGGCCTCAAAATCTAGTAGCCTCAGGGAACTCTGGCAGCACAGGAGGTATGATTTCCATTCCCCATACAAGGAGGTCAGTAGCCTATGACAGAGACATAGGCTAAGGACACTGGGGTGTGTGTGTGTGTAGAGAGAGAGCAAGAGACACAACCTACCACCCAACCTGAGATGTGCATGTATGTGCACTAGCATGTACGCACACACACACACACACACACACACACACACACAGAGTCATATCTCTCACTCCCAGTCCCTTATTTAAGGATCAGACTGTGGGACTGCCCTCCAACTTCACATTTCCGTCTGATTAAATCACTAGCAGCTTCTTTTCCCTTAAGGGGATCCTATGGATAACTGCCGTTGCTGATATATTTAAAATGGGAGAAAGTGTGGAAGGCTCAAACTCTTGACATTTCTTCAGTTCCTAAAACGGGACAAGCTCTCACTCCAATTCTTACCCCTTCAGAGAGACTGCTTGTTCTGCATGGAATATTCTCCTACTTCTGTACCTATTCCTCTTATCCTTCTGAATTCAGTTCACTTGTGAATTTTTTGCTCTAGGCTAGACCAGGCACCCCATTATGCCCCCATAACTCCTTGCACTTTATTCTCACAGCACAATCTTTGATACTGTAAGATTAACATCTATTTCCACTACTAAATTATAAGCGCCATTAGAGTTATGATTTTGCCTGTTTTGTTTACATTGTATTCCTAGACCCATGAGTCTGGCTGAATAAATGAATTAATGAGCTATTTTTAAAATTTAAAAACAGTAATGTGTTACTGTTCATTTTACAAATCTTAAGCCAAATGAATAGCAGTTTAGTTCTACTAACAGCTGAGTTTGAGTCTCTTTCAAAAATAATGAGTATCAAATAGCTAAAATTTACTGAGATTTTACAAATTTACAAATTTGTAAATCAACCTGCTAAGTGTTTTAGTATGCACTTCCTCATTTAATCCTCATAACAAACATTAAAGGGTTGCAATGGTTAAAAGGAATCTATGTAAACATTTGTGGTTACATGGCTGCTGCTGTTGCTATAATTGTTATTATTGTTGTTATGACCCTAGAAAGACATCTGAAGTTATTTTATGTTACTGAAAAGATAACTTTGTGGATTTCCATTTCCTTTTATTTGTGCTCCCATATGGAAATTAGTTGAATTTGTATGTTGACTTTGTTTATCCAGAGTCCTTGTTAGTCATGTTGGCATTTTCTGTGCACACAGATCATGTCATCTATGAATAGTAAGTTTTATTCCTTACTTTCCTTATATTTTTCTTATCTTACTCCATCAGCTAAGACCTCCAGTATGAGATTGAATAGGAGTAGTGATAGCCATCCTAGTCCCATTCCTAAACTCATGGGGATCCTGCCAATATTTCACCACTAAATATGATAGGATATCACTAAATATGGTATTTGATGAAGAACTGTTGTAGACTTAGAATTCAGAGCTCTGGCAGGAAAGCCATACTCATAATTCTGGCCTGTCTGCCTCTGTCTTTCTCTGCTCACCCCTTCCCCTAGCTTGCCTATACTCTGTTCTTCAACCTCTGTATCCTTTCCATGCCTGCTTTCTCTCTCTAAATCTCTCCTCTACTTAGTATTTTCATTTTTTCTTGCCCAATCTTTTTATTATTTAACTACTTTATTAAAGCTTATATTTTCTATTCTTAATCCTAAATTTTAGAAGCAGATGGACTAAATATCCTTTTTTCTCCCCACAGAAAAGTTAACATTTGTATTGTTCCTTGTTAGTTCAATGGTTGTCAATGAAAAGGCTTCAGTTTGCTTTCTAGCCTAAGTCCCAAGATAAAAAAGGTTGAAGTGGGCCTCCCCTGGTGGGGCAGGCGGTTGAGCGCAGTGCTGTGACGCTGTCCGCAGCCTCTGCAGTGCTGGTTCGATCCCGGCTGGCCGGTGAGGGTCCCACATGGCATGGCAGACCTCTCCTGTCTCTCCCACTGCTCCCCTCGGCAGTGCATTTCGTCAGTCTGCCAGTTCTGTTCCCTGCTCTGTCTCTGGTGAATCCTCTCACCCTCCCATGCATCTGGCCTGTACCCCGGTTCTTGTATAAATAAAAATAAATAAATAAATAAAAAGTCATAAAAAAAAAAAAGAAAGGTTGAAGAGAAGAGAGAATGGAAGGAAATGCTCAAACCAGATTGGGTAAACTAGGCATGTTATCCAGCTTAAGGCAAGAAAACACAGGTAACCTCAAACATACCCTGGTCTGCAACCTCTGTGTCCCCTTGTTATGCTGGTTATGTACTATATGGTAGCCTTCTAGTATTTTGTATTTCCTTATGTATGGATAAGAATATCCAAAGATTATCGTATTCCTTTTTGTAATAATATATGATCACCTAATTCTGGATTCTTTCACCTTTTCTCCATTTGACATTCAGAGCTAATGCAATTCTGGTATTCATCTCTATTGATGACATAGATGGATCCCAATGAACTCCCTGTGCTAAGTATTAAGAGTTCCAAAATCCATCTGGCACTGGTCCAATGGTTAGGTGCTATACATTACAAGATAGGCCCAAGATTAAAGTCCCACAGACAAAACTTTCCAGGTTTGGTGTAGAGCTCACACTTGTAGGACATCAACTCCCCTGCCCTGATTACTTACTAATATCATGAAATGTGAGTTAATATAATGACAGAGGAAAGGAGGGCATGCAGACTGAGCAATGCAAGAGATATATAAGTTCTGCCATAGTATATGTTGCCCTGGGCCTCCTAGGCCTGCTCCTATAACACCCAAGAGACAGTCCAAGGTCAGTAACATGCCTTAGGATACTATAGACTAAACTGATTTCTTTCATGCCTTTATCTTCAGCCAACCTCAAGAAGACCAAAGCTATTAGAAGTGGGATGAAGCTCTGGTAGTAGCCAAAACTATTAGAAGTGGGATGAAGCTCTGGTAGTGCAAACTTCATGGGGGAGATCTGAGAAGGGACTCAGAGAAAGTGCTATGAGGAAGCCAGCCCAAGCTGATTTCTACAGGCTATATAAACACAATGGCATTTCTGGAATTTATGTGTGCTGGGTGTTAGTTATTTATGATACTTCATATTCATTTCTAGAGTGAAGAACTATAAAATGTCAAAAATAAAGTACTTATTTCATGTACATGAAGAAAGAGTGGAATGGAAAACCTCCATTCTACTCTTTGGCCACCGCCACAAGGTGAGTAGGAGCAAGAAGGCCAATTTTCAGGGCCAGGAAGGCAGGCTAACTTTCTTGGGCCAGGAAAGAAGTAAAGGACTTCTCAAGTGATATCTAGGGTTGCAAAAGGTTTGGATATGTGGTCACATCTTGACATAGGATGCCTCACATACTGGAGGAGCTCATCCATTGGTAGAGGTGATGCCACCAACCTGCTCTAGCATTCAGGATTGTTCTGAGGCCAAATGAGAAAAGGTGAGAGTTTATGGCCATCTATAAAGTCTGAATGCAGCAATCACTCACACTTCCACACTCTACACTGTCAGCTATAGAATGGACATCATGACTTTATCTTCACATACAAAATCTTCAGGTTTCATGAGGGAAAAGATGTATATTTTGAGGTGTGCAAGTGGAAAACTATTTTCTATTTCAGGGTACATAAGAAGTCAAAATGCCAAAAACATTCACTCTAATAATCAGTTGAAGTCATCCTTCGGTTATAAGGAGAGACTGCCCTGAGTCCCTCATTAGCCTCGCCTAACTTGCCCATCATTCAAACTTACCTTCTTTCAAACTGTGTTTTCCTTTTCCTGTCCCTTTCCTCTTTTTTGCTTCTTGCTTCTTTATTTTAGTCTCCTAATTTGTTTGCCACTTATCTGAATTATCTTAGCTAGAACCTATAAACTCTACTTATCTGAATCTGCCTCAACAACTTGTCTGACCTGTTGCCTCCCCAATTGTCTATAAAACCTCTTCTACTAGTCACCTATGCAATCTTTCTCAAATCCAACCTGTCTCCTGCTTGACCTGTGTTCTGTTTCCTGCTGCCCTCTCTCTCCCCAGCCTCACTGGCTAGATCTTTTTCCAGAGTTCAATGTGCTTACATTATTATTCTAATGATTGCCATGTGGTGTTATCCAAACTTAAAGAAAACATTGTTCATTTTAACAGGAAGGGAAATTGAGACACAGAGTGATTATCCAGATTTCCCAAACTCATCTAGACCCAAGACTAGGAATCTGAGCCCAGAATTTGCTGGATGCTCTTGATTTTGTGCCAATAGCTAGAAAACTAGTGTCCTAGTAAGATGTGATTGAGAAGTCAATAAACAGACACTTAGTGCACATGCCCTGAGTTTAATATAAATTTCAGGTTCTTACATAAGCATAATGTTGCTGGGGATAAAGTAGCACAGATATTCCACAGAAATTAATTTTCAAGATATCTGAAACATACCTCTTTCAATAACAAAGTGTAATTGCCTTAAAAGTATAATTTGAATGGGAGTACTCTAAAACACTTTACACACTACCCTATCTTATTAACAGAGTATGTGGAGCCATTTCTTAGACATGAAGAAATGAATTGCTGGAGTGGGTTGTTATCCAGTGATGTTTTAGAAAACTTCTCAGAATGCAGAGCTTACTTGCCCTTTCACTGAACAACCTCACACGGTGGCACTTTTCCAGATGTTTCTTGCCTTCTTCCTTCTTGTTTGTAGCTGCGAGTACAGGAATTGCAACTCCCTGCTTCTAATCTTCTTTCCCAGGTTCCATAATGCAGAAAAATTAAAAATTTCCAAAGAAATATAAACTTGTTAGATCAAGAACTCTGACTAGATACCTGTGTGTGGACTTATGGTTTCATATAGAGTATAATGTGTGAGGTTTGTGACATCTGTTTTTGTTGTTGCTCTGATGTTCTACCTACTC